TGGAATTTTCTAGATAATATGAATATTCTCAAATTTGTACCCGTTTTACTCTATTCGAGCTCCATATTTTGAAGCAAGATGGTCATTAGATGTGTTTTTTAACTTTTATATATATATATCAAATTGTTGCTGCAACTGCATTTTTGCACAAAACGAATACAAACTATAGAACATTCCACGGAATGTAGAATATTATGTCGAATTTGACACCATAAGGGTGGACGTGTAACAAGATAGTAACATACCCATAGTAAGTAGCGAGTCCACGAGAAGTTAGACGATACACCTGGGTATTTATAGAGAGTAGATTTGAACCGTAGATTTGATTAAATAACTACCCACTTATAAACACACAAAACATGGGTGTATGTGTGCTTATGTGTAGATCTACGATTCAAATTAACTAAATGTAAATAACCAGATATAACAACTAATTTTCCCGAATCCACATTTTGGCTGGAGTCCTCTTTATTACAATTTATGCCATTATGCCATATTATATATTTATATATATATATATATATATATATATATATATATATATATATATATATATATATATATTAGTGCACCTAATTTTTATTATTTCGTCCACCCACAGCTCAAATTAATGAAAAATAAAATCCTATTCTTTCTGTTTCATAGTTTTTGATTTTTGTCATCATTTATGCAAAATAAGGTTCTAATTTTTTTTGGGCGCTCCAACCAAACTTTTCGAACAGTTAAGCGCACTCTGTAACAAATTCGCAGACACGTCGTTGCTAACGGCATCATTGAAATTTATGTGGAATTAGCTTCAAATATATATATGGTTGACAAAAACTTAATTGACTTTTGGAATCAATATTTAAACTCTACTTCACTTCATCACTCTACTCCTACTCAGTCAATTACGTTTCACTTTAATTAATTAATTCCTAATTCATGTAGACGTTACATACTTTTCCGCTAAAGAATGGGTTATATATATATATATATATATATATATATATATATATATATATATATATATATATATATATATATATATATATATATATATGTATATATATATATATATATACATATATATAAATATATATATATATATACCTATAACAAATAAGATATATATATATATAT